CTTTTATCTACGGAGCGTTTTTTTTTTCTTAGAAAAAAAGGGGTTTTTCCTATAGACTGTTACGTGAATCTTTTGAAAACAGTACGAAAGTTAAATTTTTTGTTAGAACAGCAGGCCACATAGCTCTGTTTTAATAATTCCGATTCTATTTGGAAAAATTAGAATATTTTTCTGAGGTAAAATCGTTGCTCTAAAGCTTAGAAGCACAAACTAGAAGCAGTTCGTTCAAGTTATAAGGCTGCAAAGAAAATTTCCACAACGTTCCACAAGTAATGAATGAGGATGGTATTACCCTTTTCTTCTCCTCTGGTACCACTACTAGGTTTCTTTGACTTCTGCAAGTATGATTTTTGAGTTATTTAGCTTCTAGATTGTCTTGTAGGTTTCGTTTTCACTTTTCTGAGCACAGGGGAGTGCCCGAAAGCTTTAAACTTTAAGTCTCGACGTTTTGCGCTGCAACCTATTGGGAAATTGCAGGCATTAGCCAATTGTGAAGTGTGTGAATAGGAGCACAGAAACATGCCGGCGTCAATCAAAATAATTTTGAAGACAATTTGAAATTCTGATAAAATCCCTAAATATTTGAGTATCCAAACTCATCTATACAAGAAACACAAACTCTGCGCATACCCTTTTCATGTACAAAGGAGGGCATCCTGTCCCATGAGGGGGTCTTTTCCTTGTGCAAAGGTGTACAGTAGGGTAATGGAGAGGAGCCTCATCATTTTTAGTCCAGTTCAATAGAAAAGCAGCGCACGAAGAAACTTCCAACTCCGGCGTCTTGAACACGAATTTCAACTTCGATTACCTTGAAACTGTCAAAAAATAGAGACTCCGGAGTACCTATGGATTGACGGAGATAACTGGTAGAAGCGCAATTTTAAGTTATCCACTTTTTTCCCCAATCGATCGCACGTCATTCTCGCTAGATAGCTCAGCTTTTGAGAGAAGCCGAGTACGAATAGGCTGAAAGAGAATCGCTGTTTGGGCGGCTGACCTAAACGACCGGAGTGATTTTCACGCACACAACGGGGGAGTCATTTGCCTGAAATTGGGATTAGAGAGTCGGCTCATTACCTAATGGAATTCGAAATCCTTAGTTTTGTCCGGACACTGCCAAGACCTCCCCAAACGAGTGTTCATGCATACGATCTCTAGGTGTTCTTTTGTAAGGATTAATGCCAATGTATCATAACGTTTACCATTTGAGAGGGTTGCAATAGCAA